AGTATCTAGTTGGCACTAGTGTGGCAATCATTAATCAGTATCTAGGACCCAACAAGCAGATTGTGTGTGCATAGTATTTGTGATTTAATCAGCAGAGAAAATGACTTCAAAAGAAGGACCTTCCACAAGTCATGATTGGTCTTCTAAAAACGTTCTGGGTGCGAGACCTTTTGCTTGTACTTGAACCAAATCTGATTTCCTAACCGTTCTTGCAGGATCTTCACTAATGTCACCAGATTTTCAAATTCGGGGTCAAAGGTGCATACAGATCTTCAGTGAAACTAATTAACTCCACGAAACTCTGTGCTTACTTACCAAGAACATGTAACAGCTATTTCTCAAAACACTGTGCGTCCATGGGCACGAGTGTAACTCCAGTCATTTTTCACGTCAACTATTTAACAGAGGCATTGTGAAAAATGACACAAGAGCAGGGTTTATCAATGCATAAAGATTGACATCACACTCGTACCAACAACTCACACCCACGGCATCTCTAAAGACTAAATTCTGATGTGACGGATACACCGGCGTCTTGTTCAGCATTTTCATGATGGTTACAAATATCACACTATCAATGAATAAATGAAATTGTCAAGTCTATATCACTTGGACAGAATATTCATCCCACGATCAGTCCTATACCGAAACGGTACTGAGGTTTCTGTATGTTCGCAAAATTGGCCATGCCACTGAGGGCAAAGGTGAAGGGAAGTGGCATTAACTTTTTCTCCATTGTCCCACCTACAGACCAGTTGGTGTCCAGTTGGCCTAAAATATGAAAAAGTCAACATGAGCTTTACGTCTCAAAGTAGTATTTTACAGTGGAAAATTGATCAGTGCATGAATATTGACATCATCAATACTCAGATATTGAACACCTAAAACCTTACCATAATTTTGATACTGAACATCTAAAACCTGGTTTGGAAATGAACATCATCATAAACTTGATATTGAACTTCTAAACTCTCATTGTAATTTGATATTAAACATCTAAACTTTGTCATAATTTTGATGTTGAACACTGAACATCAAAAACCTCATCATAATTTTGGTGTTGAACATCTAAAACCCAGTTAGGAAAGCAGAACATTAAATCCAACTACCACTGGCTGGGAATACTCTATTTGCACATTTTTAACAGTAGAAACTCATACCTTTGAACGTTACGTTGGTAGATGGTATTTCTAGCTGATATCCTATTGTTCCCACACTCTCTCTACTGGCAATACTAGTCTCCACCTCGGCGGCTACCTGAAGTTGATCACTAACTTTGTGGTGGTAACAGGCGTGCATAGCACCACCTGTGGGACAATAGTTTCCAGTCAACTGCCATTTCTCCCCTGTAAAAACAAAGACAATTTAGCTATACATCTGAGACCTGCCAACTTTCTGAGAAGCTAATGAAGGAGATTTCCCCCACTTCCCCCACTGGAAATGTTTTGTGGAGGGAGGCCGCAGCGGCAATATGTTCTTGCAGAAATTTTCTAAAATTATCATCAAACCACATCAAACATACTTTCACAACTAGTTGGATATTTATACTAAGTTTATTTTCACTATATATGTCGTTTTCGACTGAAGTAATGAACAAGGAAAAAATCTTGACATACCAGTCCAATTATTTCAGAAGGGCTAAAGTGAGAGCTGCAAATATTTTGATCATAGACAACATAACCAAACACGACTTTTTTTCTAATCACCACTTCCTCTAAACACGAAATCATAAATCTCTTGTACAGCGTTTTAATTTCCAGCGATAAAGGCATATTAAGGTTATTAAAGAACAGTTATTACTTCACGGACCGATAATGCTAGATCATGACTGAATCATGCCTCAGATTTCAGGCTTTTAATTTCCATGCAGATGATACACGTTTTCAAATGACAATGTGAATTTTCAGTAGGGGATAAAGCACACTAAGAATTATATTAATTCATAAACCTATCACATGATACAGGGAAATTTGAACAGGTAGAACAGAAGATAATTCTGTGTAAACGGTGGGAGAGAACATATATCTATAGTGTACCTGATATCCGTGCTGCTAGTGACAGGACTGTGAACTGTTTGCCGGGAATCTGGGGACCGTATTGATACACTAGTTCTCCTCCTAGTGCTAACCGTGACGTCACTGTCTGTAGATACTGCGTTATAGCTATACCTGCAACACATAAAATCAATTCACTTTTTAATCATACATAAATTTATGTACAAATTAGAAAACTCTTGTTAGATCTGTACAAAAGTTCTATAAGACCAGACAAAAAAATATGTTTCCAGTCACATGTTGGAATGTTTTTTTAGGGTAGGTAGGTAGGTAACAAGATTTATTTTTTTAAATAATTTTGTGTTTATTATATGGGGCCAGACCCACGGTTTAAACAAAATTGGTTCCCCTTAA